GGCTGGGGGAATGGGGGGCTCACCTGCCAGCAGAGACAGCAGAGCACACACGAATCCCGACTTCATGACCTCTGGGCGCCTGGGTCCTCCAGCCACCCGGCTCCCGCCGCTTCTTTATGGTAAGCGATGCCATCTCCTTCCTCTTCCCGGGGCCGCCCCTGTGATTAATCAGGGTTGGGAAACGTCCCTGGGGGAGGGGGAAGCGTCCCCTGGGACTGTGACAGGGGCCTTGACAGAGGGGGTGGGTGCAGGGGGATCCCCGTCGGGGTGAGCTGGGGTGTGGAGAGGAAGGCTGGGAGTGCCTCCCCCGGGGCCTTCAAAGTGGAGACCTTGGACTGCAGGATGTGGACTCTTCCGTGTCCTGGAAAGGGAGGAGGATCTTTGGGGCCCAAGGTCCTGGGGTGGAAGCCAGTTTATTTTGGACAAAACAGTGGTGTGCGGCTACCAACTTCCCAGACTCGAGGGACAAGCAGGGGGACCGCCCAGGAGGCAGGCTAGGGTGGGAGAAAGAACCAGGATTCAGAGGGGAAGAGGCAGGCACAGCACAGGGTGAGATGGAAAAAGAAAGAGAAAGAAACAAAAGAGAGGGAGTTGTAGATGGGAGGACCTCAGACAGAAGAGGAAGAGGAGGAGAGAGAATCAGAGGAAGATTCAGAGAAGCCCAGGTGGACACCACAAAAGGGCTGTTCAGGTCTACACCCTGGCAGAGCCTTCTCTGCCCTGGAGACTTGGGCTACTTCCCGCGAGGACAGAGGCCTCACCTAGGAAGTTGGGAAATCTTGGTACCATCTGGATTAACCCACTCCTGTCATAACCTGCCCTTTCTGTACACCCCACGGACCTGGTGTCCCACCTGCTGGGAGCCAAGTGCCCTGCCCTCTCTCTCAATATCGCCTGACCTTCGCCAAATCCTGAGAACACCTGCTGTATTTTTTCTCTCCCCACCCCATTTGTCCTTTCCATCACCCCGTCCTTCTGGCCTGTCTCCCTCACTAGGTGGGCAGCCTCCGGAGGGCCAGGCCCAGGTCTGACTCATCTCTGTGTCCCCAGCGTCACCCAGTTCTGGGCTGGGCTTGCAGGAGTTCTCAAGAGATGTTAATTCAATGAGTGAATGTCTTTCTCCATACCCGTCTTTTCCTGGTGAACTCATCCTGCAAAACCCAACCTCAATGCGCCCTCCTTCAGGGAGCCTTCTCTCGTTTCTCCAGACAGAGTCCGTGCTGCCTCCCCCTCAGCACTTACAATCCCTTCCACTTTCTGCTGCCCACAGGTCTGATGGTGAAGCTGGGTCTGGGATCCCCTTGAATGCTCTCTCTTATGATGGTGTTGTGGTTTGGGGCATGGGTTCTGGACTGAACCGTGTGGCCTAACCTCAGCGCTGGTAGTGATTAAGTGTGTGACTCTGGGCAAGTCACTGGACCTCTCTTGGTTGTTCCATCTGTTAAGCAGCAAGAGTAACCAGGGTTGTGGGGGGATGAAGTGAATGATGTCAGTCACACCACAGTGCCTGACACACGGTGGGCGTTCAGTAAATCGGTTTATCCACCCACCACAAAGCCCTGTATCACCTCCATCATAGTATGCATCTCCTGTGGCTGCAATTGTCTTACATGCTCTCCAGACAGGGAAGTCCTTGAGACCAGGGACTGGATATCCACTGTGTGCTAAGTGCCATGCTAACCGCTTTTTTTTTTAAAGAACATATGAATAACTCCCTTTATTGACAGTTTCTCTGTACCTGGCATTAGGTAAATGTTTCATGTGTATTATTTAATTCTCACTAGAGCGCAATCAAGGAGGTATCTCCATTTCACAGTGAGGTAGTGAGGACATTCGAGTAATTTTGTTCAAGGTCAGCCGGGTGTGGTGGCTCATGAGTCTGTCATCCCAGCACTTTGGGAAGCTGAGACGAAAGGATTGCCTGAGTACAGGGGTTCGAGACCAGCCTGGGTGACTTGGCGAGACCTCCTCTTTACAATAAATCAAAAAATTAGCTGAGCGTGGTGGTGGATGCCAGTAGTTCCAGCTACTTGGAAGGCTGAGGCAGAAGGATCGCCTGAACCCATAGGTTGAGGCTGCAGTGGCTGTGAGCGTGCCACTGTACTCCAGCTTGGGTGACAGTGAGACTCCAATTCAAAAAAAATTTTTTTTTTTTTGCTCAAGGTCACAGGAAGTGATTGAAATGGATTTCCTTCTCCACCCAGTGAACTCCTACTTATCCTTTAAAAGTCCACACAAAATGCCCCTCATGCGAGAAACATTCCCTGACTCCTCTAGGCAGAGTCCTTAGACCCTTCGTGGTGCACCCTGTGCCTCCTTCTATTACAACACAGATCAATTAGTGTTGCTTATTTATTCAGCAGTGTGTTGGGTGGCTTCCATGTGGTAAGCACTGCAGCAGGTGCTTAGAAAAAAAAAAAAAAAGAAAACCACAGTGAACAAGTATCTCAATCTCTGCCCTCACAGAGTTTGTGGGGAGGGGTGAACAGACTACTGTCAATTAAACAGCAAAAGGAGTAATTTCTGCTGTAACAAGCGCAACAGCCGGGCTTGGTGGCTCAGCCTGTAATCCCGCGCTTTGGGAGGCTGAGGTTAGTGGATTGCCTGAGCCCGTGGGTTCGAGACCCGCCTGGGCAATTTGGCGAGACCTCATCTCTACCATAAATCAAAAAATTAGCCGGGCGTGGTAGCGCGCGCCTGTAGTTCCAGCTACTTGGAAGGCTGAGGCGGAAGGATCGCCGGAGCCCAGCAGGTCGAGGCTGCAGTGGCCAGGAGTGGCCATTGCACTCCAGTCTGGGCGACAGAGTGAGACTCCAACTCAAAAAAAACAAAAACAAAAACAAGCGCAACAAAAGAAATAAACCATGAGATCAGTGATCAAAAAGGAACCCCTTTAGCCAGGGAAATCCAGGAAGGCTACTTTGAGGTGGTGACTTCGAGTGGAGAGACCGGAATGATGAGGATGGAGGCTTGCCTGTCTCTCCAACCTGACTAGCAGCTCCTTGAGGGAAGAGCTCGGACTGGTTCATTGTCAGAGCCTGGCACGGGACATAGCTCTGTAAACATCGTGGAGTGACTAAAAGAACAAGTGAGTTGTCTTTAAAAATGAATTGTGTTTCCGAGTTCCCACCTACCTGGCTTCTGGTCCTTGGGTGACAGACTCAGCGACGTGCCTGAGTGACATTTCCTGGGTGTGCCAATGGGGGTGGAATGGGAACCCGTGGCAGGCTGCTGTCTCCCAGGCCCTGAGCTCAGACCTGGTAGCCCAGTCTTCTGTGGGCTCTGAGGGAGCTGTGACCTTGTGGGCACCACCTCAGACCGGGAGTCCAGACCCCAGCCCCTCCTCCCTCAGACCCTGGCAGCCCCTCCTCCCTCAGACCCAGGCGTCCAGACCCCCAGCCCCTCCTCCCTCAGACCCAGGTGTTCAGGCCCCCAACCCTTCCTCCCTTAGACAGGGGACCTCTTCTCCCTTGCCGAGGAGCCCTAGCCTCTGCCCCCTCTTCTCTCAAACCCAAGAGTCCAGGCCCCCAGCCGCTCCTCCCTCAGACCCAGGAGTCCAGGCCCCAGCCCCTCCTCCCTGAGACCTGGGGTTCCAAACCCCAGCCCTTGGTAGTCCAGGCCCCTGGCCCTTCCTCCCTCAGACCCAGGAGTCCAGGCCCCTAACCCCTCCTCCCTCAGACCAGGAGTCCAGACCCCCAGCCCCTCCTCCCTCAGACCCAGAAGTCCAGGCCCCAGCCCCTCCTCCCTGAGACCTGGGGGTTCAAACCCCAGCCCTTGGTAGTCCAGGCCCCTGGTCCTTCCTCCTTCAGACCCAGGCGTCCAGACCCCCAGCTCCTCCTCCCTCAGACCTAGAAGTCCAGGCCCCAGCCCCTCCTTCCTGAGACCTGGAAGTCCAAACCCCAGCCCTTGATAGTCCAGGCCCCTGGCCCTTCCTCCCTCAGACCAAGAGTCCAGGCCCTCAGCCCCTCCTCCCTCAGACCCAGGCGTCCAGACCCCCAGCCCCTCCTCCCTCAGACCCAGGAGTCCAGGCCCCAGCCCCTCCTGAGACCTGGGGGTCCAAACCCCAGCCCCCAGTAGTCCAGGCCCCTGGTCCTTCCTCCCTCAGACCCAGGTGTCCAGACCCCCAGCTCCTCCTCCCTCAGACCCAGAAGTCCAGGCCCCAGTCCCTTCTCCCTGAGACCCGGGGGTCCAAACCCCAGGCCCCAGTAGTCCAGGCACCCGACCCTTCCTCCCTCAGACCCAGAAGTCCAGGCCCCTAACCCCTCCTCTCTCAGACCAGAAGTCCAGGCCCCTAACCCCTCCTCTCTCAGACCAGAAGTCCAGGCCTCCAGACCCTCCTCCCTCAGACCCAGAAGTCCCGGCCCCAGCCCCTCCCCCCAGAGACCTGGGGGTCCAAACCCCAGACCCCAGTAGCCAGGCCCCCTGACCCTTCCTCCCTCAGACCTAGGAGTCCAGGCCCTTAACCCCTCCTCCCTCAGACCAGGAGTCCAGGCCCCCAACTTCTCCCAAGATACAGGCTTCAGTCCCCCACTGTGCCTGACTCCAGCACCTAGGACTGGGCCTAGGTAACAAATGCCCAATAAATGTATTGGAAGCTGGGAGGAGATGTGTGTCTATGTTCAGCTGATGCTACTCCTTCAAAAGGACGTCTGAGCAGAGATGCCCAAGCATCAATGAGCGTTGCCTGGATGTCATGTACAAACCCCACGTGCCCAGGAGAGAAATATTTACACTGAGACCATTTCAGGGTGAAAACAATCCCTCTTCTCAGACTTTCAGGACAAAAATCCCAAAACCAATTACTATTTTTAATTTTGTTGGAGTTGGGGTCTCCCTCTGTCACCCAGGCTGGGATGCAGTGGCACGATCGTGACTCACCACAGCCTTGACCTCCTGGACTCAGGTGATCCTTCCACCTCAGCCTCCTGAGTAGCCGGGACGATAGGCGCCTGCCACCACACCCGGCTAATATTTTGATTTTTTTTGTAGAGACAAAGTCTGGCTATGCTGTCCAGGCTGGTCTCAAATTTCTGGACTCAAGCCATCCTCCTGCCTTGGCCTACCAAGGTGCTGAGATTGCAGGTGCGAACCAAAGCTGATGAATAACAAACCAAAGATTTCCCCCTACACCTCAGAGAGAGGCTTCTTGGCTCCAATGTAGCAGTGGAGGTCTTGGGGGCTAGGGTGGCTGCAAGGTGAGGTCCCTTGAGTCCCAGTGGCCCCACGAAGGCAGGGAAGGGACAAGATGACTCAGAATCAGCCTAGCTCCTGCTGCAACAGGAGGAAGCGGTGTTGGGTGAGCCACCAGTGGGAAGAAGTGGGAGGGGAGGGGAAGTGGCCCCAGGGTGCTTCCTGGGACTCAGAAGGAGGGCGGGGAGGGATACACATTCCCAGTCAGCATTCCCTGTCAGCCCCAGGGAATGGGGCTGGGGGCTGGGATTGGGGCTCCCCCTGTGCACCTCTCCCCAGGACACAGAGACACACGCTGTCACCTGGGCCAGGTCAGATTATGACAGCAGGCAACATTTATTCAGGGCTCACCACCTGTGGCGTCAAGCCTTACATGACAACGACTTTAAAGACAGACACACATGTCATGTCACAGTCTCCTCATGACGTGTCTACACTCCACTGTCCTCATCTGGCAGGTGAGGAAACCGAGGGTCAGAGAGGGTACTCGGCTTCCCCAAGGTCACACAGTAGGGAGTAGCAGAGGAAGCCAGGTCCGTTGGGTCCCATAACTTCCCTCGGAGACTGGGTGACCCCCGGCTTCCTCGATTCTCCTGAATGAAATGTTGCCGCCACTTTCTGAACTTTGACATCGGTGTGGGCAGAGAATGAGGGTGGGCGGGGGGGGAGGTGAGGGAAGAGGGGTGCTGTTAAGAGGTGTGGGTGGAGGTCTGGGCAGCACAGGAGGGGCATCCCGCTGACTGGGGAGGAAGAGGGTGGGTGGCAAAGGGGTCTCCAGCTGTCGGGCTCAGCTGGTACGGATGTTCCTCTCGATCCAGGAGGTGTATTTACAGATCTGGGTGTAGACTGCTGGGTGCTGGGCGGAGCCGCAGGGGTAGACACCCCATGAGAGGATGCCCTGCAGGGTCTCGTCACACACCAGGGGGCCGCCGGAGTCACTCTGGGGGTGGGAGGAAGAACGGATTACACAGAAATGCCAAGCTGCTCCCTTGGGGTCCGGGCAGGGACGGGGAGGGTTGGAGTGGGGTGGGGATTAGGTATGAGGCTGAAGGGGGTGCTGGGATGGGAAGGAGGTGGACTTGGGACTGTGGGGGCTGGGCTGGGGTGAGCACAGAGAGGTAGGTTGGAGCTGGGACTGCGGTGTGTGGTTGGTGACAGGCTGTGAGTCTGGGGGTCAGGAATGGCTGGAGGGTGGTGGGGTGAGGAGAGGGTTAGGACTGCGGGTAGCTGGGCTTGAGCATGGGCTTGGGAGTGGGGTAGGGGACAGGGGTGGGGTCTTTTCTTTTCCCATCACCTCCCCGTCCTCCCCCCCATGAGTCAGAGCCCCCCGCTGGCCAGTCCCTACCTGGCAAGGGTCCTGACCCTGGGACAGTCCGGCACACATCATGCTGCTGGTGACCACGCCAGGGTAGAAGACGTCACACTCTCTATGGCTCAGGAGACTGACCGTGGAGCAGCTCAAACCCCTGTTGTACTTGACTGACAGGAGACACAGCAAGTAAACCCTAGGTCCAGACTCCCAACCCCTTGGGACCCAGGATTCCAGATATAACACAGTTTCTACCCAGATCCCCAGCCCCTCCTCCCTCAGACCAGGAGTCCAGACCCCCAAACCCTCTTCCCACGGATCAGGAGTCCAGACCCCCAACCCCTCCTCCATCAGACCCAGGAAACCAGGCCCCAGCCCCTTCTCCCTCAGACCGAGTCCAGGCCCCCAGCGCCTCCTCCCTCAGACCAGATCAGACCCCAACTTCTCCTCCCTCAGACCCAGGGGTCCAAGCCCCCAGTCCCTCCTCCCTCAGACCTGGAAGTCCAGGTTCTAATCCCTCCTCCCTTGGACCCAGGAGTCCAGACCCCAGCCCCTAATCCCTCAGTCCCAGGGGTCCAGATCCCCAGACCCTACTCCCTCAGACCCAGGAAACCAGGTCCCCAGCCTCTCCTCCTGAGATACCACCTCAGTTCCCCAGCTCTTGCCTCTTCGGGTGGACGTGGTACCCCAGCCTGCAACCTGGCACTGGTCTCCGGGCTGGGCACAACGGGAAGGCAGCTGCAGGGTCTTGACACGGGGCCCCAGCACCGCCGGCTTGGCCAGCTTCAGCAGCATGAGGTCGTGCTCATCCGTGCGCCGTGGCAGGATGGGGCCTGAGCTCTGGCGGTACTTGGGGTGGATGATGGCGCGGGTGGTCCGGCGGAGCTGCTCGCCCTGGAGCAGCAGTAGGTGGTCGTCCCCAACTCGAGCCCACAGTGGCCTGGGGGAAGGAAGGGACAAATGGAGACATGACCTTCATGGGGGCTGGGAAGGAGGGTACAGGCTGGGGGTGAGGCAGACACCCGTGTCCTGAGATAGATGAGGTCTGGGGTCGAGGGGGCGGAGCGAGAGCAGGTATTGGCCCTGGATGCCGGGACACAGGGACGAGGAGTCAGGTGTTTGGACTCCTGGGGCTGCAGGCACTAAGGGCTGGGGGCCCGGGATCCGGGTGAACCCACCCTGTATCTTCTCTGTAATGACCTCCAGTCCTTCCTCCTTCCATGGGGACTCGTGAGGTAAGCCTTTCCTTCCAGTTCTAAGTTCCTGACCATGCCAGACCCCGACTCCCATCTGTTGCATACAAACCACCTGGTCCTGAATGGAACTCGGGTAGGATCGGCTGGACAGGACGGACGGCCCAGACATGCTGAGAAGGACCACAGCGTCCCCTGGCGGCCACAGCAAAAGGCCTGCCCGTCCTCCTCCAGTCAGCCCTCTATGAGTGACCTGCATCTGGAGCCGGGAGAGATCCAAGCGCCCCCTCCCCACCCCTTCCCGGAGGCTGCCTCCAGAGCCCTTCCTCGTAGGGTCCTCGAAGATCGTCCTCCTACCTCTTGTTGTTCTGGCAGTGCGCAGCCGTAAGCACCCAGCTCCGGTCCACCAGGACGCCGGCACAGTGGAACGACAGGCCGTTGAAAAGGGAGACGTGCCAGGGCTGCGAACCGCGCGCGCACGGGGCGCCGTAGGCTTCGGGATCCGGGCCCGTGTCGTTTCCGGGGAGCAGGAAGGCCTCGGCGGCTGCAGAAAGAAAGGAGACAGGGATCTCAGCACGCAGGGCAAAGGCTGGGTTTGGGTCGGAACTGGGCCATGGGCCTGGACTGACTGCGTGCGGGGGCAGTAGGGTGGGAGGAAGACCTGGGGGAACGCAAGTGAGAGGAGAACGACGCGAAAGTGGGAGGCGGGGAAAGGGTCGATGAAGGGGCGGGGCTAGAACGCGGCGGGACGGTAAGAGTGGGGCTAGAACGCGGCAGAGCGATGAGGGGGCGGGGCTAGAACGCGGCCGGACAATAAGGGGGCGGGGCTAGAACGCGGCTGGTCGATAA